CGCCTTGTGCACCCGGCCGGCACCCGAGCTCCGGTCTGCCCCAACCGAGCCCTTCACACCTCCCCGAAACCTTGCCGACGCCCTACTCGGCGTCCTTCTGGCCCACCTCTCGGGTCCCCCAGCCGCGCCCCACACCGCCGGCTGCAGCGCTATCCCGCCAAACCACCGGCGAGGAATGAAAATACTCATTAAAAACCTGTCGCCTTCCAGGACCCGTTGCCAAGAACAGGGCCAACACCTCTGCCTCCACCCGCAGCTTACTTGGTATTCGTCCCAGTATCCACGAATACCACCCATCCCCAAAAGAAACCTCAAAAATGTAAGCCTAAACAGTTTCTTCGGGAGACCGTAAGATTGCTGGGGGAAAAACTAATTTTAAAAATAGTTCTGGAAAAAATCTTTTTCAATTCTTAAACTTTCTAATGCTATGGTTATCTCCACATACAGAGGCATCCAGTGAAGTTTAGTCCTAATAAATTACTCTCCGGACACACAACTGGAATTCAGCTCGATTTTTTTTTTTTTTTTCCTCTCGTAGCCCAAAGTTTGAAGAGACTTTTCTTCTTCTGACACCAGGTTCTGATCAGGGACTTTCTGAAAAACAAAAATAGTTTCCCCTCTCTCTTACCTTCTCCTCCTGAGTCAGCCCACAAGGAAAATCCTATACATGGAGTAAAACGTACATCCAAGGCCTCCAGTCCCCTCCTGTTTCTCTCCCTCTAGCTCTAACTGTAATGGGCGCAAAAACCGCTTTTTGTAATTGATTCAATGTTATAGTCCATCCTTCTAAAACTAATCATTTGCTCTAAGTAAATAGCTGTCAGGAAATGAAGCCCCCCCACACGGCCTCTTCAAAATAAAAGTTTCCCTCGAATTCCCGGGGCTCTAAATCTCCCAGATTGCGCCTTAGCTTTTTGCTCTTACGCAATCAGGGGGTCCAGTCCCAACCTCCAGACTTCGACAACAACTCGGGGGCGGGGAGAAGCAGACCAGATGGGGTGGGGGTGATTGAAGGGGGAGGTGTTGATGCTCTGCCGGGAAAAAGGTTTGGTGAAACTACAAACATCCCCTCATTTCCAGAATGAGTTTGCCTCTGTTTGGGGTGTTTTTTTGTTGTTGTTGTTTCCCTACGCTGCTGTAGTTTTGTATTCTCTGTATAAAGAAGAAAAAGGACATGCAATAGGAATATAAGTCTGGAATGGAAAAATGTACCTTCTATAGAACCTGGACCAATTAAAAATAGAGGCCTGGGGAGAAATTTACAAGAGGTAGCGTGGTTTTGAACTAGGGGTCTTTTAGGGAAAGGGCGGTGTAGTCGCTAATCCTCTAATAGTATTAGGCAAACTGTGGTGTCCAATATGAGGGTGACAAATTTTTGAAAGACTAGATGAAGTCCGGGATAGGGCACAAATAAACGAGGGTCTTCTTAGGTGGGGAATGGTGGGGCAGAACGACCTTTACTCCCTAGGAACCACTTATCTTGTCGCGCCTTTGTTTTCGAAGTTATCTGGGAGAAGTTGCCCAAGAGTCTATCTCGCACAATAAAAACCGGGCTTGGGCATTTGGAGAATTGTCTACAAGTCCGCAGCTCCACGTCCTGGGGAGGGTACATTCTGACCTTGTCTGAGACCGCCCCTACCCCCCCATGGATCGGACTGCCTGAACCGAGTTGAGCCCCAGACAGCCCCAGACGCGAAGCCAGGGTTGGGACTGACCGATTCCGATCGCCGGAGATAGGGGGCGCTAACGCTCCAGGAACGGGCCCGGAGCGCAGCGGCGCGTCCCAGGGAGGACGGGGGAGGGGAGCCCGCTCGCTTTCCGCGCTCTGACTTTGAATTCTCTTGTAGCGGGGAGTTGGAGGTGGCGTCCTTTACTCTCCTCCCCCACCCCACTCTCCCACACACCCCTCTACTCAAATAGCTAGGGTGCCTCGGCAGAGACTGGCGCGTCGAAAGCCGTCACCTTCTGGCTCACCAGGAGAGCGGACACTGAGCAGGGGAGGGTCACAGAACAGCACCGGAGAGGGCGAGGTGCTGAGCCTAACGGGGACTGGATCGCGCGGTGCCGGGCTCAGCGAAAGAGAGTTTTGGGCTGGGGCTGGGCTCGTCTCCCCCGCCTTGCTCGCGCCGCCTCCCGTGCACCCTCGGCTCGGGTGACAGCACCGCGCGCTATTACTTCCACATGTGCTTGCAGGAAATCACTGGAGGCCAATCTGTGAACAGTCCCTTGTTCGGAATGCGAACAGGATACCGTAATGTTTGTAGATAATGAACGGGGACTAAGGACACCCCTCCTCCCTGGATTGCGGAGTAGAAGAAAAAAGAGGGTACCTCCTGGCTTTGGTGCTGTTATTAAAAGTACCCTGAGTCTGGAACTTTACACCAGGTGCCCAAAAGGGGGGACGCCTGCCTTGCGGCGGCGACAGCACCAGCTGGATCACACATCAGGGGTCCCTTGCAAGCAGGGTCCCAGCGATCCCGGGCCACAAACAGTAACTTCACAGATTCTTTCCGAGCCCTTTAAAGGGGCCCAAAACACTGGCCAGGAGGGGCTGTCTCAGGTCAGTGAGCGACTCTCCGAGTTTCAGTCGGGGGTGAGGGTGGAGGGATGGACCAGCTCGGAGCACCCAGTGGGTCCTTCTGGTAGTAATTACCTGGCTAATTTGAATGATGCCTTTGTTATGATCATTAACAAACATTTGCTAAAGGTTTCCATGTGTGACATTCTCCAAGGTTTAAAGGCCCAGGGAACCGACCCTGGGGACAGTGCCCCTTGAGGGGGGTGCAGGGGAGCAAATGGTGGGCGGAAGATTTCGCTGCGCCTGAACCGGGAGAAGACGATGAGAGGGCGACATTTGCCTCCCTTACCAAAGCAAAATAAACCCAGTGGTCCGGAGCAGCTTAGGGAGGAGGCCTTCCGGGCGAGGCGGCGGGTTTCTGGAGCCCCGTCCTTCCCCGGCCCCCAGCCCCGCCCCTCCCAGTGCTCAGAAGTGGGTTGGAATCCAGTTTTCCTCCCTCCCCGGTTCAGGGCTTCAGCAGGGGTCTGCTCTGCGCCTTCGGTCCGCCCGGGCGTCGTGGGGAGGTGGGGCTGGCGAGCTGAGCTTCCTCAGTTTAAGATCCTTCAAGATCGCTCCCTCCACGCCCGGGTCCTGGGTGGTCCCAGAGCCGCCGCCGGAAGAGGCCCTGCCTGGGCTCTCCTTCCCGGGCTTCAGCCCGGAGTGAGCGAGGGGACCGAGTCTCCCTGGGCCGTGGGCGACAGTCCCAGTCCGCACCAGCACTATGATTGTCAACTTCTTATTTTTACCCCCTGTAAGAGTAATGAGCGAGCGGTTTCTCTCCAAACCGAGAGTCCAGGCAGCTGCGACACTGGGGACCGAGGCCCAACTCGAGCTTGAGCGGGGCTGGGACGTTTGGGGACCAACGTGAGGAGCGCGCGGTTCTGGACTTGGCCTTGCTCCTCTAGGCCTTCAGGCGACAACAAACTGAGTGCGAGAGTAAAAAGAGGTGCAGTGGGTGAACTAAACTTCAAAAAGAGGGCCCTGTAAACTTTTTACAATCAGCCGTCAACTAAAACAAAGCCAAATTCTCGCCTTGCCCGGGTTCCGGGCTCCCTCGCCCACTCCGGGTGACAGCTGGCTGCGCCACACCTGGCCTTCAGCGGGCATCTCTCGCTGTGCTGGCTTTTTGTCTTCTGTTCTGCTCCCCGGGCTGCACCCCTCTATGCTGCTTTCTTGGGACAGTTCAGAGGTCCTTTTGCTTAAGACTTAAGGATGTGTCCAAAGGCGCAAGTTGAGAAAATCACGTTTAAACAAACTTGCGAATTTCTTTTCAAATGAAGTTGCTAGGCGGGGCGCGGGTGGGGGAGTTTCTGGCTTCTTCAGTTGGAAATGAAGGGCCGTTTGGCGTTGGCGAAGGAAGGCGGTGCTGCCCCCCCCCAACTGAGTCTGGAAGCGCGGGCTTCCCAGGGCCTCTGAGGGACCTCCGCAGGAAGCTCGGCAGAGGTGGGGTCCCCGCGGGGAGACGAAGGACTCCATCCTGGCTTGGTCAGCTGCAGCGCGGGTTAGCAAGCCACCCCAGGACTCTCCGCACTAGAAGGAGGACGACTTCCAAGTGGAACTTGGAACTCGGGGTGATCGTCACCCGGTTCTCCAGGACTCTTGCCCACAGCTCTTCAAGACTGCTAGTTGGACCCAAAGGTGCAGCGCCTCTCCGGGGTTCCCTGGACGCTCTTCGCAGAGAGCGGCTCCTGAAGGTGTGGAACGAAGGCTCCCTCTCCAGGGCCCCTAGCGCGCAGACT